ACTACTATACTAATGGACACACAACTAAATGAAACAACTAATGGAACAACTCACGATGTACATATAACAGTTCGATATAAGCATTGAGTATACACGTCAGTGGATACGTGTATACCGTACCCAATGATATAAGCAACGGTTCTTGCAATTTATTGCTTATTGTTTTTTAGAGTTGTTTTCGGACTTACTCTGTTTTCGGACGTACTCACACTCGTATAAGGTTGTCCACGTTTGTCATTGATAATGTAGCCATGTTACATGGTTACACCCGTTGTCAAGAATATGGTTACAAGTTTTCCGTCTGTTTTTGAATAGCGATACATTTTTTCACATACTTAAGAACCACCTGATTTCGTGCATTACATGTTCGTCTCAATTTTAATTGCTTTAGTAGGCATTATTTTGGTTGATGAGGACTTCAATCGGTCCTTTCAATGATAGCTCATGAAATATAGTACTTTGTCCATTAATTTTATTGTTTGGTAAAATGGATTAAATTATCCTGCAAACCCAAATAGAAATAGTAAATATAGTATTTGAAACAAATCAGTAACATGTTAATAATGTAACCTACATTATTTCCTTGAATTGCATAACAGCAATTAACTGGGCTGATCCTAATATAAATAAATCAATATGCTCTTCATAGGCATAACATGGGTTCATAACATGAGCCGCTGGGGCTGAGCCCAAGGGATTTAAAAATGTAAGGTTGGTTTGCAAATGTACGTGACACGCTCTTTCTAATGAGACATGAATGGTCAAAATCACCTAAGAAATTCGGAGGAGTTCAACGGAAAAATTTCGTGTTGGCGTTATACAGTATGGTTGAAAAGTCCTGGATTGGCTATATTTTTTTAACAATATAGATAAAGTAGTGAGACTTGGTATATCAATAATATAATAGCCATAAATATCTACTGTCTTAAGCTATTATCACTGTTTAATCCCTTAAGGGGGATGGACCACAAAGACTAAGACAAAATTCGTATATAATTTTAATACTATTTTACCTGTTTTTGAAATGGCGACCATACAAATGTATGCATTTTAAGCCAAGTATGAATGGAGTTGAGTGTGTGATGAGTGGAGCGATCTTGTTGTCCTGTTAGTGACTAAGGCCGACGTAATCCTTAGACACAGCTGTTAATTAATAGTCCATACAGTCAATTAATAGCAACAGAGGTCAAGTTTGGTAGGTATCAAATTAAAGGTTTTAATTATAAAAATACATTGCCGCAAACCCAAACTCAAACGATGATGATGATAATAATGTTAATGATGTAGCTAAAACGTATCGTTTGAAATTTAACAGCTGAAAATAAGTTAAATAGAAAAGGTTTTGGTTAAATCCATCAAATTGTTATTGGACACTAGTAAGTACTTGTGCACTTTTTTATATTGATTATATGATTATATAGATTTACTTTGGATTTTAAAAATGTGAACGTTTTATTTTATTAAAGATTTATGGTGATACGTAAATATTGTGGTGTAGTAAAGTATATTATATTGTAGTTAAGTGTTAAATTTTGAAATTTTAGGGTGAATCGAGATGAAACTTTTTTTATAACATGGGTCTCTCCTACCTACATACCAAGTTGGATACATACCAAGTTTCATAAACATCGGTTGGAAAAGTGTAAAGATAAATATTTGTATGTAAAAAATACAAAATGGCGGATATCTGGTTAACGAAACGATTTTGGAAAAAATGTTATCCTTCATTTTCTGTTTATTTTGACCCAAGGAATGACTAGGTAAAGTATCTCCCCGCTTATTTTTAACACCCTGTTTATGATGTATTCTTATAAGTGAAAAATGTAAGCTGGTAATACAGAAAGATGTTTTATAAATAATATGAATGTACTGGTGATCTGTATATTCATCTTTTTCTTGTTCTTAGAACTGTAAATTAAAAGTCCACCAGCAGTCGCATCGTACGATGTAGTTCTTTCCATGCGTTGTGAAATGTTAAATTTGCCGTCCTCTTCAACCCAAGTTATCTATTGAACCACTGATTGTAAAAAATTCAAAAAAATATATTTTACGCATCACACTTTTGGCTACAACTTTGCCACAGACGAAACCTCCTTAACCCAAAAACAAAAAAAAATCTCGCATGCTAACTTTTTCATGCTAGAAATCACGATTTAAAACTATTTCACCATACATATCAATTTTTATTAATTAGATCGGTAAATAGTTTAAAGTTCCAACAAAATAGTCATTGAGTAGGACTAACCAAGAAGCTCTGTGCCAATTTTCAAAATCTTAGCACAACTTTAAGTACACCAAAACACGAAATTATTGAAGTCATGCGTCGAGAGGACTATCGTTGTTTTTAACAGATTATACTTTTGACCTTCCGGCACTGTTGACTCAGCGAAACTGAACTTATATTTTATCTTATTTCGTTTTATTTAAACTGCTGTTGCATTAGGTCAAATTCCCAATAAGTCAATTGCTTTAACATAGACTACGTTTTTAGCCCGGACTGTACTATTTGACTTACTGGGATTTTTGATCTACAGACACTGCAAACATTGTAGTTTTTGACCTAGTGGCACAGGTATAAATTATTTGACCTTCCGGGACTGTTGACTTTCTGCAACGCGTCCTTATTGAATCACAGCTGCTCATTTTCATTAGCAAAATTGAAAAAAAGTTAGAGGTAGTATTTAGAAATTATTATCCTCCAACTACCAAACCTCCAAGTATTTTTTTTCTTTATTTAAAATAAAAAGTATTTTTGTTTTCTTAATTATTTTGTTAAATAATGTTGGAACCTAACGATAAATAGTTCATCAGACGGGCAAAAAGTGTCTTTATAACCCTCACTCATTTTCTGAATGAGGCGAACTTGAGAAAAGGTCCAAAAGAGTCATGCCCTAGCCCTAGTCATGAAAACATAATATTAGAAAATATTTAAAAATTCTATTATCGCCGGTAAACCTAGATGTGTTGGTAGTAGCTTAAAAGAACTTTTATAGCTTATGCCTGATATTTTAGAATTATCAAGAAAAAATACATAGAATTTTTAAACAGATATTTGTTTTATATTTAAACAACAATATTTACATGTAATTGAAGGGGATGAATTTTCCAACACTATTAACCACAATATTAGAACATACTTTCCATCAAATTATGTTAATACCTAAAACAAATAGGCTATTAATTAGCAATACTCTCTGCCAGATCTTGCCAAAACTACACACTTCGCCTCTAAACATTTGACAAATAATGGTTGAATATACTTTGTCGGACAATCCTTAACATCAACTTTCAAACACTAAACATAACTTTTTAGGTTAGGTTAATCCAAGCATTGAATGAAATGAGAAACATTGCATCAGCTAATCGTAGTTCTAGTATCTTCAAGTGTTGCCAACTTAATTTGAAGCACGCTGTTTTGTGTTGTTTGGTTGGAATACTGGATTGCGGCCAAAAATGTGTTGTTTAAAACTTGCTACATATGTTTCGGCGGTTTTATAACTCGTCAGGCTACAAAAAAGATCCATTTGAGTTGTCGTCAAAATAAGTTACACACATTTTACAGGTAACACAAAAACACCAAAACGCTTAAAGATAGGCCTATTAATTACACAGATGCAGTTTGCTTGTCCTGCCCGTGGCAATGTACACACAAAATAATAGATCTAAACATTAGCACAGAAAACATATAACCCAGAATGCCAACCGCATGGTAAAAAGCATTAAGTGTTTTGAGAGAGCTTTGCCTGTCAATTTGTAGGCAGCGCCACCAGCGTTGCCATGCACTCAGCATAGCAACGCTGGTGGCGCTGCCTACAAATTGACAGGCAAAGCTCTCTCAAAACACTTAATGCATTTTACCATGCGTTTGGCATTCTGGGTTATAGTAGTATGTTTTCTGTGACGACATTAGTTATTTTCATGATATAAAATTTATATTCTGCCTAAACAGTCAAATTCTCTTAGTAAAATTATTTTCTGAAAGGACTTTTCTTCTATTATTGCCTCTTGGTATAAATATGAAACATCACAATAAGTATTACACTCTCTACATGCCATTACAAAACTGGGTTTCCCATTATGAAGAGCCTGCCTCAAATCCTGTTTCTTCTTGCAGTTGCTCCAGGGTGACATGTGTTGGATTCTATTGTAGGTACCAGAATTGAACACAAATAGGATTAAAGTTTAACAATCATACATGACAAATCTTCACTGGTTTTCCCAACATTATAATACTTATAATGATTTGTACCTATTGTCAGGACCACATAAATTTGCAGTTGAGGGAGGAGCCTATTTACCATATGGTTTTCAATGAACCAATGAGAACGGTGTGGTGTTGCCAAATCTAACAATACCAGCTGATTTGAAAATATAGCTTTGTATATTTTTATTAGTGTTGTCAATGGGTGATGTGGCAACGTCGCACTAGCCTCGTCTTGTGATTGGCTGCCACCAACTGCAAACTTACGTGGTCCCGACAATAAGACATTGTGCCTAATTTTTTGTAAGTGGTATCTCTAATTGACTAAATATTCTGTTTACCATCTACAGCAGTTGCTAATACCATTGTGCTGTAGATGGTTACATTGTTATTTGGATAATTATTGCAAATACTTTCCATCACGATTAGTGTAAAACAATTTACTGTCCGTAGTAATCAATTTACAAATAATAAAAAATAAAATAAACATTTATGACTTAATTTTATTGTGTACAAAATTTAATTAGGCAAGTTAAAAGAAAAAAAACATTATGTTGTGTACTAAACATGAGTTAAGTTAAAGCAAAAATTAAAATATGTTGCAAGCACACGACTTGCTATCTGGTGACCAACTGATGTTCTAATGTATTTTTTTATGATTGTAGAATGAAATTTATCAGTCTTCAGCCATAGCATGGTCTAGGCTTAGGCCTATATCTTTGGTAAAAGAGCAGTCTAAAAACTTGCACAGTACTGTTTTCCAAAGGGTTTAAACAATTAATCGTTGGTGGTGTTTTAGCTAGCAATAGACCAATGGTTGGACGGACGTTTGTCCTCACGCTGGCTGTTGGAATCACCTTCGGCTTCATGTTTGCCTACATCGTCTTGTCAACGACAACTTACCACATAGGAGAAATGGCTATGTTTCCTGTCAGGTAGGTTGAGACATTACTAAATCATGTTGATAAATATGAAATGTTGTAGTAAAATAAATAACACTTACTTACTTACTGCTGGGGCGCTACAAATCGCAGTCGATTCTTCGCCTCGTAGATCAGCCTCTTCCACGCTTCTCTGTCCGCTGCCATCTCCACTGTCCCTCCACACTGACTCACATCTCTCTTAACTTGGTCATACCATCTCATTTTTGGTCTACCCAGTGGACGCTTTCCAGTTGGTACAGCAGAACATACTTCCTTCAGTCTTGTTCCTTCTTCCCTTCGCAATACATGACCTAGCCAACCTAATCTTTTTGCCTTTATCAAAGCTATTATATCAGGGTCCTGGTATAACGCTCGTAGCTCTCTGTTTTTTCTAATCCGCCATTCTCCTTCTTCGTTTACTGGGCCGAATATTTTTCTTAGGACCTTATTTTCAAAAACAATCAAGCGTCCTTCATTTCTCTTGGATATGACCCAGGTCTCGCTTCCATACAATAATACTGGTTGAATAATGGTTTTATATATTCTTATTTTTGTATCAGATGATAGGAGTTTTGATGACAGGAGCTTCATACATGCACCTAAACATTTATTGGCATTTGCTAATTTACTTAATATTTCTGTATCTTCTATGTTAAAGCTATTTACAGTAACTCCTAAGTATTTAAAGCTTTCTACTGGTTCAATTAAGTAGTTGGCTATATTGAAATTGGTGCCTCTATTGATGGGATGTCGTCCAAACTTTATTATTTTGGGTTTTTCCTCATTTAGTTCCAAAACCACTTTTTTACATTCTTGAATAAACTTGTCGGCTAGAAAACACAAATCCTCCGACTTTTCAGCCAATATCACCACATCATCTGCAAAGGCCATGACATTTAAGTCTACACCCAATTTTAGGCCCCTCTTTAGATTTTTTACTTTTTGTAGAGCTTCTTCAATCGCTATGTTGAAAAGAGTGGGGGAAATCCCGTCCCCTTGTCTCACTCCTGTATTTATACTGTATTTATACTGGTATTATTATATATTGTTACTAGAGCATGAAGTGACTATTTCTGTATGATGAGTTATATTTTTAAGCTAATTAACTAACAAAACAAAACTTTGCTGTTAGCTTAGCTTCCCAAATGGATTCCACACAGTTTATTTTCTTTTTAAAAGCAAACAACTATCACCGAAGTATTCAAATTTGGTCCATGCCAATCGTGTTACTAGACTGTAACTAATCTTGTTGGATTGAATATAGATAAATCACAGTCAACGAATTAACTTAATGAACTACAATCAATAGGCTACATTAAGTGAGAATGAAATGAGAATGGCTTTGCTCTCACATCACATTTGGACCTGTTGAAAAAGCCCTTTTGGCTGCAGTATGAGAAAAAAATCCTTAACTACATCAAATTTCCCAAATTAATCTCTCTTTTCTGTTCTTACAGGGAATTAGATAACGATTTTCGTGCTTCAGACCCCCACCACCATAGCCACTTGGACAACTTGCCTGAACTGAAAGGCGATGTAGGCACACACGGTCATGACGAAGAGTTCCACAAAGGTAGGTTCGATTGAGAGTAAAATAACATCAGACTGTCACTAATCTAGTGGTGAACAGGATTTTTGTAATTACTATAACAGAGGAACAAATCAGGTGACTTTAGTTATATTGCATTTTGTGCTGGTTTATGTAGCTGAGTGGTTTTGTGGATTGTCGGTTTGATCCTGAACAAATTAACGAATTTGCAGAAGATTTTTAATGGTTTTAAACTGTACCCAACGACTGTTCTTCATCATTGGGCTTTTAAATTGAGGTTTTGAATAAGTAAGATGCATACTCTATAGAAGCTTAGTTTAAGAATACAACTGCAATTGAATTTTCTGGCACGGTTTTCTTGTGATTGAGCCAAAAAGGCTAAGTGTCTTACTAGTACCAGTCATTTTTTTTAACAGAACCCCAGATCTTTAGCTTCCTAAATACTTGTTTACATTCATTCAGAACTGAATGTTTTAATTGATACAGCTGTGCTTATAAAAATCAGTGCCAATCTATGTAGATAAGATTAAGTTTAATACTCTTATCTGAAGTGGCTGTGAAGGCTTGTATAGTAGTGATGTATGCAGCCAGTATTGAAATATAGTATTGAATCAATAATGCAAAGAAATCCCCTTACAAAAAACTAAGACAAAACTACACCATCCTGAAACATAACACCTGAAGTATGTGTTAAAATTTATAATTTTTGGGCTTTGCCCCGATTAACTTCATAAGTATTCGCATGGCTCAATCACGTCCTACCCACACTTTCAAGGTAAGCTAGCTGCTATCCTCCTTTTTCTATCACTCACCTTTAGGTTGGAGCTCGTTCGCTGCGCTCACTTGTTTTCAGGTTAGCTCGTTCGCTACGCTAAATCGCCTCCAGGTTGATGTTCGTTCGCTACGCTCACTCACCTTTAGGTTGCAAATTAGCTGTTGTCATAAATTTTAAAAAGTCATCCATTTTATTGGTTATAATACTTTGATAAAGGTTTTTATGTTTTTAATATTTAACATTGGAGAATTTAAACGTTGTTGAGTGCACAGGTGTGCTGCGATTGAGGTTTAATACATTTGGACTAATTCAAAAGTAAAATAGTTTTCTGTGCTGCACTCTGTAGAAACACTGTGGCACTATTTCAAATCATGACTATTGACTAATGCTAATACAGAATGTTGTGATTATTCAAACCTTCAAAACAGTTGGTGAAAGTAAACATCTGCTTTTAAATTATATTTATTTGTAAACATTTTAGATCAAAAAGTCTGACATTGGCCAAGGCCACACTAAAAAAAACAGGCCGTAATGCTCGTTAAGCATGACGTCACGATAGAAGACGGCAATGACGTAATTAAGGTTATATTTTTGTTTTCGATGAAAATATTAAAACAAGCAGCTGATCACAAACGGCAAACATTACCTCATTGCCGTATTCTATCGTGACGTCATGCTAGACGAGCATTACGGCCTGTTTTTTTTAGTGTGGCCTTGCATTGGCCCACTTAAAACCCTCTGGGGCAGAGCCCTTTTGACGGATCTGCACCAAACTTCACTCGAACCATCCTTGAAAGATGCTTAATAATGCCTGAAAGTTTCCTTACAATCTGTCGAGCGGTTTAGGAGTCCATAACGTATATACATATATATATATATATACACACATACATAGTTCCTCTTTTATAGATATAGATTTATGATGCATTTGTTTCAATCATATAATGAGAATAATTTTTACTAAAGGTTGTGTTAACAAGTTTTCTTTTGAAACTTGAGATATTGACATGACTGACATGGTGAGATTTTAGTCTGAGACCTTCATAAAATTTTATTACAGTTGACCTTTGTATATATTTTCTCAAATTTCATAGACATTGTCTTTCTCAAATATCTTGAGTTAAAGTATGGGGCAAAATATCTGAAAACTATAATCCACTAGAGCAGCTGTCCAATTCATTAAAGCTCAATAATCAAGGACAGCTGTGCCAGGTTTCAATCCGTCTAAAAGCAACTTGACTTTCCTCAGGATCAAACCAGCAACCTTCTTATACCTTAAGAGAGCTTTTGAAGCACTGACTTACCCAGCTTGTAAGTCATTACATCTTGTAATTAAACTGTAAAATTTGTCTAAATACGTTGGCAAAATAAATAAACAAACAAGCTATTTTGACACTGTAATAATATATCATCTATGAAAAGGTTACTAGAGAATTTGTGTAATTTGTATTTGTATTTTCCTGGTGTAGACGAAGACATAGTAGCCAAAGAGTTAGCTCAACGTGTGAAAGTGTTGTGTTGGATCATGACTTCGCCAAACAACCATCAGAAGAAGGCACGTCATGTCAAGGCTACTTGGGGGAAACGGTGCAACATCTTGCTCTTCATGAGCTCACAAAACGGTAAGATGCTTGAATCTGGGATTGGTGGAGTATTTGATTGGTTGGAGTAAAATTGTTTGGGGGCCGAGTTAGTAATGTGCTAAGGTATAATGAATGTTACGGAATGTCTAATATAGTGTCCAAAGTACAGTTAGTGAAAGAAACAAGTTAGCCAATGAGCTTTGGACCTTATGAATCTTGAACATTATAGTTTAATGTGGTGCATAACAGCAGTCTTCATATCTAAAAATCCTATTTTTTCTAGAATCTATTTTTACCATCTTGCCATGTTAGTAATTTTTCTATGTTACATGGTGTAACATTACTGTTACATACTTGTTCTATTTTAAATTGTATTTTGCCTATATTTTTACCTGCCATTAGTGGATTTTTATCTTGCCAGCTTGTTTTAACTTATTTAATTTAATGATCTTTATTATTTTTTATGTAAAATATTTCATTACATTTTAAATATTATGTACCAATTTATTATGTAGCAAATGACGAACCCCATTGCACCGTAAAATGTTTAAAGGGTAATAAAGACTCTTATTCTTATAGAATGAATCTTATTTAAGGTTTTCTAAACCTTTTGAATTGACAGTTGATACCTTTTAACATAGCTTTGTCAGCACAGAGGTTAGGTTTGATTGGAAAGGGCTTATTGCTTGAGAATTCAGGAGACAAAGGACAGTATAAGCAAGATATAGTGAGATATAATAAGCAAGAATAAGTGGGATGCCTACAATTTTTAAGAAAAGCCTGCTCATCCTGCCCTTTGTCTCCTTTATTGTTTGTCAGCACAGAGGGAATGTTGTTCTTACAGTTTAACTGTTGTCTATGTAGATACATCGCTGCCCTCCATAGCTTTGCCTGTGAGTGAAGGTAGGGACAATCTGTGGGCCAAGACCAAAGAAGCATTCAAGTATGTCTACAACAACTATCTGGACCAGGTGGACTGGGTGTTGAAAGCAGACGATGACACGTAAGTTGTAATCTTATACTCAACTCTCGCATAACTGCAATTGGATTAATTTTGTTGCGGCTTAACTGGGACATGTTCCAGGAAAAAAGGTAAAATTAAATTACAGTTCCAAGAACATTTCACACGGTGCCATACGATGCCTCGCGAGTGTGGTACAGCTGCTCGTACTTTGAGAATCAAGAAGACACTCTTGCCGGCAAAATTGTCGTACGTTTCTTTAGCCAGGAATATTTATCATAAGCACAATGATTAAGAACAGCTGGGTTTTTTAAAACCATCAAAACGCTCAGCTAATTCTCAGGATCAAATTAGTGACCTTTTGATTATCAGGCAAGCACTATAACCACTCGCTTATCTTATCTTATCTTATCTGACAGGGGCAGGTCGAGACCTTAAAGCACTTCATCCGAAATCGAATTATTGCGCACCCCAGATACTTAATTGCTTTCTTGTTGACCTACAAGTTGAGGCGCCCAATGAATGCCTGTAGCTTCCCAATTAGTTCATCCTCAGGAAGAAATCTACCTCTAGCCATATTTCCAAGAGTTATCGATCTAGCGTCAGAGAGCTCAATACAATCAAAGAGTAAGTGATCAGCTGTCTCTTCTGACCTATCACAGTACCTACAGATCGGTTCACCATCATATAAGCCCATCCGTTGTAGATGTTTCCTGAATCTTCCATGACCAGTTATCAGTTCAACAATTAATTTAATTCTTCGTCTGTCTAGTCTCAAGAGGTCACAGGCAACCTTTTTGGAAGGCCTAAACAGAGTAAGCTTGCTGACCCTAAGAAGGGGAACATCGACCCAGCGTTTGCGATGCTTTTCCTTGGCCCATGACGCAATCGCAGAACATACACTGTTTCGTGAGATGCCACAGAAGGGTTGCGGGCCTAACAATGATGTCGCAGAGGCAGTATTTGCCAATCTGTCTGCAGCTTCATTTCCTTCAATGCCTGAGTGTCCTGGTACCCAGCAAAGCGTAAGGTCATTTCTCCTACCCAACTCAGACACAGAAGCAAGACAATCCCACACGAGCCTGGAGTTGAATTCGTAAGAGTTTAATGCTTTTAAGGTCGCTTGACTATCAGTAAAGATATTGATTGTTTTGTCTCTGATATCTTTGTTAAGATGTTCTTGAGCACAAACTAGAATGGCAGTGACCTCCGCTTGAAAGACAGTTGGGTACACCCCCATTGGAAGACAAATACCAGTGCCTCCATTCATCCAATGCACACCTGCTCCAGTGCCCCCATTTTTGATCTTAGAACCATCAGTATAGCATTCTAAGTCACCTGTGGGTATGGGTCCTTTTCCGCCAGACCAATCCTTCCTATCTGGTATTAGTACTTTGAAAGGCTTTCCAAAGGAGTATTTTTTGGACATGTGATCTGAAGGTAAGTCCAATTCATCATTATGTACCACCTGAACAATTTTAGAGTGCCCTTTATTGTTCCCTGAGGCTATCCATAAGTTTTCGCATCTAAGGCGTTGGGCTGTTTTACTTGCTACCACCTTAATATAAATGTCAATAGGTAGCATGTCAAGCAGACAGTCAAGTGCCGCTCCAGGACAGCTACTTACTGCCCCAGTTATCATAATAAGAGCAAGCCTCTGAACTCCTGCTAAAGCTTTGACAGCTATAGTTGATTCCATCTTTGGCCACCACACAAGCGAACCATATGTAAGGGCGGGTCGAACAACAGATACATACAGCCAGTGCATAAGTTTAGGCTGTAACCCCCATGTGCCACTTACCATCCGCCTGCATGCCATAAGGGACCATTTGCCACGCTCAATGACTTTTTGAAGGTGTGGTCCCCAGTGAAGTGATCTGTCCAAAATTACACCAAGATACTTCACCTGATTCTGCAGCTCTATTACAGTACCCTGCAGTCTTAGTGGGCCGATCCCGTCCAGTTTCCTCCTTCTTGTGAAGGGTACCATTACAACTTTCCTGGGATTTATAGAGAGCCCAACATCCTGGCACCAACGGTCCACTACCCTTAAAGCTCTATTCATAAGGTCAGTTATGGTTCCGTGGAACTTTCCAACCACAAGGATTGCAACATCATCAGCATAACCTAAGGCAAAAACCCCACTTTCGTTGAGGGTCCTTATAAGGTCGTCTGCTACCAAATTCCAAAGTAGAGGAGAAAGAACCCCCCCCTGAGGACATCCTCGAGTAGTTCTTGCCTCGATCGTATCATTGTGGAGTGAGAGCCTAACCTTCCTACTGAGAAGCAAGGATTCAATCCATCTACATATTATACCGTGAAAACCTCTTGCTCTCACCGCATTAAGAATCGCTGGAGTACCAGTATTGTCAAAAGCACCTTGAATATCGAGAAAGGCACCCAGGGCCACTTCACTGCTCTCTAGAGCTTTCTCAATCTTGCTTACAAGTTGGTGCAACGCAGTCTCGCATGATCTTCCTGAGACATACGCATGCTGATTAATATGTAAAGGATGTGTCCTAAGAGCTGTATCCATCATATATCTTGAGACCAACTTCTCTAGGATCTTAAGAAAGAAAGAAGATAGAGAAATGGGTCTGAATGACTTAGGGTCAGTGTAACTATCCCTTCCTGGTTTAGGAATAAATGCGATACGCGAATTACACCACCCTAAGGGAATGTGTCCTAACGCTAAGCTGGCTCTGAAAAGTTTACAGAGTGGGTGTATAATTGTATCAAGACCCTCCTGCAAACAAACAGGTCTTACCTCATCAGGACCCGGCGATTTGAAGGGTCGTAATAAGCCAACAGCCCATCTTACCTTGCTGAAGGTGACTATGCGGCAAGCAGTGCTCCACATAGAATGAGTGGCACGACGGCCCAGGTTAGGCCGCTCTGGACTCACCTCCTCCTGCTGCACTTCAGAAACAATACAACCAGGGAAATGAGTTTTTACCATAACCTTTAGTATTTCGGTAGGTTCAAAAGCCATTACACCATCCGGTCCCTCAACGGCACCCAAAGTAACATGCCTGTCTCTAACAAGTACCTTATGTATTCTAGAAGTATCCTTGATACTCTCTAAATTTCCACAAAAATTTTTCCATGAGAGCCTTTTGGCCTTACGTACTGCATGGTTATATTCTGTGAGAGTTGTATGGTATGTATCCCAATTATTGGTTATCTTTGCTCGCCTAAATTGGGCCCTTACTCTCTTCCTAAGAGAGGCAAGTTCAGGACCCCACCAACTAGCCCTGTTGCTCTTTCCCTTGCTCAAAGGACAATTATCCTCAAAGGATGTAACTATGCACCTAGTTAGACGATCTGCCGCCTCGTCAAGCGCATCAACTGTGTTAATAGGAGATGTGTTCAGGTTCGAGGCAATTCTGCCCCGAAGATCAGCTCTGAAGGATGCCCAATCGGTTTTAACTGGGCTCCTGAATAAGCGAACCTCGCCGCAGAAATTCCCCAACCCGAAGACAATGTGCCTATGATCAGACAGGGATGGCTCAAGGGACACTGACCAGTCAATAATCCTGTCAGCCATACCCGCCGAACACAGGGTAAGATCAATTACTGATTGGCCTATCCTGCTTAAAAAAGTTGGTTCTGAGCCTACATTTGCAACAAGTAGGCCGCAAGAAGCTATGTATTCTAGAAGTGACCTACCTCGGTTGTTAGTGTCCCTGCATCCCCAGGCCGTATTATGGGCATTGGAGTCGCAGCCTATCACGAGTTCAGATCCAGACTCGTGTGCGAGGTCGACCAATCTTCTGACCTCGGCCGATGGGAGCAGTCCATCGTCGCCCTGTGGCATGTAAACCACTCGCTTATCAGTATAGATAAATAAAGATTAGAACCTGCATTAAAGGTTTTGAATTGGTGTGCTATTGACTTCTTACTAGACAAATTATTTTTATTTTTGTTAAAAATGAAATACTGTTTACAGAACAATATAGACTATGAATTTCACAGGTATGTGATAGTAGAAAATCTGCGCTACCTGCTGTCAGAACATAACTCCTCTGATCCGATATACTTTGGTTGCCGGTTCCGACCCTACACCAAGCAAGGCTACATGAGTGGGGGCGCAGGTGAGTCACTAATAGGGTTTGTTAAGCATGTCACAGTATGCACAGATGTAAATTAACTTCTTCGTTGTAACCTCCCAACACTAAGAAATAGACTAATCGCTTTACCTCCTTGCTTTGATGATTGAAGAAAATAATAATGTGGTACTTTTAATCTACTGTAGAAAACAGTCACAGGCCCACTAAATGGCCTGTGACTGTAAGGGTCATACTAACATAATTTGATGTACCGTTTTGGTTTAGGTTCAATTAACTTGTCTGAAAAGAAAAAATTTTAATTCTAAAAAATTTAAAGTAAGCCTAAATAATAATGAGTGTCCCAGAAAGGAATGCACTTTTAAAACGATATAACTAGAGTTAAAAATGCAACTCAGGTGTTTTACTTTAGTTGCGATAGACCACAGAGGCAAATCAATATCTACCTTTATGAGCTGCATCTCAAAAGTTAAGAGGTCCACTGGGTGTAGCCTGAAGGGGTTTTAAGAATTGTTGACTATGTGTGTAGGCCAGGTTCTTATTCTACCCTTGCGCACAATTTCAGCCCAGTCGTTTTAGTAGTTTTTGCGTTCACCCATTTTTAACAAACCAATTTTTACAAACTAGATGGGAAAGACTTTAATGTTGTATAACAGTACGGACTTATTCACAAGATATTTTTTAGGCCTACTTCATAAAGTATAGGCTAATAATGTCATTTACAATTTTTCACAATGTTTAACTGACACAAAAATGTACTGAAAGCAGAACAAAACATACACTCAAAATATTAAACATTAATAATTGTATACTGTGTAGAAACAGGGACATCGGGTTTGTTAGGAATAGGGATGGATTTTAAATGCGGTTTGAACAGTTGTAGAAGACTAAAATTGTCTGCAATACATTTTTTTGTGTGTGTATAAAATATAGCCTATGCAGCATGGTTGAATGTTTTTTTCATAATTTTCTTTTACACAATTGAATGAGTATATTTGTTTATAGGTTATGTTTTAAGTAAAGAAGCTGTGAGGAGGTTTGTGGAAGAGGGTCTTCCAGACAAGAAGAAATGCAGAGAGGACAGTGGAGGTGCGGAAGATGTTGAAATGGGTAAGTTGTAACCAAACCCACATGGAAATACCTTGTCAGTCTTAACTCTTTGAACCCCACAGGTTTTTAATTGATTTAATTTCACCTACTTGATGATCCTTCCCTTATCTTATGAAAAAATGTCAAACTAGGCCTACTTAAAAACATGTGTCCGTGGACTCAGACACTTGGGAAATGTAAAAGGTTGCAAGAAAGGTCTGATTTGAGGTACAACCTAGAAAGAATCCAGCCACCTTCCACAGGAGCCTCTACCACCAAACTCTGATAATTCAGATAAACTTCTCATGAGCTGCACACTAGCCCTGACCTAAAAGTGAAGCCTCAATACAGGGTGAGTCAAACCACCCGTGCACAACGGTTTGGCCCCCCAAGTGTTAAAAAACTACCTTTTTTATTGAAAATCCGCCATTAAAATTTTTTTAGTGGGTTACAATTTTGAAATGTCACCTAAGGCACTTATTAAAAGTACAAATATATGTCCTAAAAGTAATTTTAAAAACTAAAAACATGTAAAAATCTAAGACATTGTACAGATTTTAGAATTAAGGCACTTTTAGAAGGTGAAGTAGTGCAATTTTGTAAAAACGCCTAAGAGTGTCTTGTAGAATTCCTGACCATGAAAATCTTTCAAATCTTTGCTAGCTCTTACTGATTTCAGCTACAAGGCTACACAGTCACGGCTGGTATATGTATGTCGTGTTAAATATTGATAGATAATGTGGTGTATAGAAGTTTTTTATGTTTTTTGTCTGCTGCAGGCAAGTGTCTGGAGAGGGTGAACGTCCTTGCGATGGATTCCAGAGACTCGTTTGGTAGAGGAAGGTTCTTCCCGTTTGTCCCTGAACATCATCTTATCCCCGGACATTCGGATCCCAACTTCTGGTATTGGAAGTACGTTTACTACCCTAGCCCAGAGGTGAGTTCCATTAAGTATTATCTAAAACGTTGTTTCACAGTTTATACTAAAAATATGTTGTAGTTGGGCAAAATTTTATCATAGGATCAAGTTATTCTTTTCTTGAAATTATGCACAGAAGCAGGTATTAATGATTTAATTTATTTATCGCTGCAGACAATTTTACTTTGTATAGCAAACTTCTTTGTACATGAACTGTAAAAGGTCTATAGTAGAATCAGAAAGGGCTTGAAGGTAAAAATATTTGCCAAGGCTGATTAATACTGTTTCAAAGCATACCAATTTCACTGTGTATGGAATAATGGGTTGTCTTATATACACGGTCAACATGAATATATAATCATAATCTAATAAAAAATATTTTCTATTTTTATTCATGAATTTTCAACAATTAATTTTCAAAAACCATGTCCTCCACTTTTAGGTGTTTTAATATAATGTGCATAAGATACATTTCAAACTAAAAATACAATGCCCATAAATAAATGAGTATAGATTTAATGTAAGATATGTTCATTCATAATTTTAAATGTCTAAACATAATGTCGTATGTCCTTCAAGTGTTTTGTGCAAAAATGAACTAATAAATCAATCTTAAACATCATGTTATCTCACAATAATCATGTTTGTTAGATTTTACTCTATCTTTACAGCATTTTCCGTTGAGCAACCAATAATAATTCTCTGTCCTGTTGTAGGGTATAGACTGCTGTTCAGACAGTGCGATATCCTTCCACTATGTCAGCCCCAACCAGATGTATGTTCTGGACTATCTCATCTACCATCTCAGGCCGTACGGTATCAACCATTACGTGAAGCCTGGCGTGACTCGTGCGACGCCGAGCAGTCCAGCTCCTCTGCGTGACAACAGGTGATACACAATCGCGACTGACTCTCATGTGCCATAGACGCAACTGAGCTGTGAGCCCACGTGTTAATCTACTGTTCAACTAGGACTATAAGACGGCTCTAACTCACAAGTACCGTTTGGGTCTATTGTTAAACAAGTTTGTTCTAGCCTTGTTGGGAATATATAAATCTTTATCTATATATATAAAAGGCAAAGCCCTCACTGACTCACTGACTGACTGACTCATTTATTATAAAATACAGATTCTTGACAATGTTAAGACACAGTACTGAGAACTTCCTCTCTCGGCCCGAACTCTTGCCTGAGCTTGTTTGGATCATCACAAGCAAATATTTTTTTTAACTGAACATATCCAAAACTGAATAAAGTCATTCAATCTTCAAACGGGAAAGTTCTAACTCATAAGTAGTAACTCATACAGTACAGCTAACATGGACCGAGCAGGTTTTTACATCCCTAGGGCCACAAAATCAGCTGCCCGCTTACTTTCTTAAAACATGAATGCATATTAAATACACAATCAGTATCCATAACATTGCAATAGAATTTTTTTAGTGTCACCATTGCCTACCAATATTTATTAAATTTTTGCTGATTCCTCAAATAACCTCTTCACATAACCTTAAAGTTGTAGTTGTGTTGACTATCAGTGTGAATTATTATTGTGATGAATAATGGTAATAGGGTATAGTGTGGTGAAAAATAGCGATCGTACCACGGACCGAAATGGTTTTGCAGTTCTCGATCGTTTTAAGTGCTCGACTTCATCTCGAGCTTAAAAAATATCTCGAGCCGGAAAACCCTGATTTTCGGCCCTAGGTACGAAATATACTATTTTCATTTTCAACTTCTGTTTATTATTCACTGAAATTTAGAATTTTACACTTTTACTCATCATATACACTTTAGCAAAACCCAAAGTTAACAATTTATTTCTAAATGTGAAATCAGTTTTTACAGGATAACTTGGATGCGATATAAGTTTTTATAGCATATTACAATGAAAAACAGGTGTAGGTAGATGACAAGAGAGGAATTTTTAATTAAATATCACATTAAACATGTAGAAAACATGAAAAACCAAATTGAAGTATTAAAGCCAAATAAGCCTTGCCAAAATAATACAGAATGTTCAATTTAAACAGTTCAAAAGTTACGGTGTCATAGGCTAACTGTTGTGTTTGTATGAACCAACGATCACTTAAGACCAAGTGAACAGCAAATTTAAGGATGAGGCCTATCAGCTGCCAGAGGCGCCGCGCTGTTCGCTGCCGAGCGTCAGCTCACTACAAATCGAAACTGCAAAACAATCCCTTGAGTCTTGAGTCCTTGAGTTGAAGTGCTGTACAAGTATACGCATTTTTCAGGTGCTTTTGGTACAAACAGAATAAATGCCTTTGGTGTGGTGCTTTGGGTACTTGAACTCTGAGAAAAAAAAACCAAATTAAGTTGTTCACTTGTCAGTAAAGTTGTTTCCAATTTTGTCTTATAAAAAAAAAATTTGTCCCGTTGGCGCCACTTTTTCGTGGCGCCATATGCGACCGTGTAGTTCGCGTATAGGTTAAACCGGCCCTGTCAGTATTCAATTTGCTAACACGTTTTCTTCAGCCAAAAACTGCAAAGTTGTGAGGTAGTTATGTAAATTCACATTCTTTGAAAAATATATTAAATTTAAATATGCATTATGTCCTTATCAATAAATTTGTATGTTTTATTATTATTCTCAACACGTAATTTCTTAATAAAACTTACATTTTCTGAGCTTTCAATATGTTTAATAGAGATTACCCATCAGATGATTAACAAACGGTGGTTTATTAATAAGTTATATTTTATAAACTGTTTTTGTAAATTTGTAAAATATGATTATTTTGATATTCTTAGGATAGGTGCTAAATGTTGTTATCTAATAAATGTTTAGATGTTGTTCGTTCTTATTATATTTCAAATATATTACTGATGGAACTCGTAAACTTGCATTTTTCTGTAGGGTGTTATTAAAGATCCTGTAAAAACATTCAGTTTCTTATGTGAATACTAAAACGGTTCTTGCCATTTGTGGTATTGTGTCTGAATGTTTTTACACAGGTAGATTGTGTAGCCGTAGAAATAAATATTTATTCTCTTGTAATTCTATGTCGGTTGTGTTTTGAACTACGCGTATAGTGACAACGAAAGAATACAGTAACAGTAAATATTCTCAAGTTCCTTTTTCTTTTATTTGGGATCTTCAGACACAACTGGTGTATATTTTTTTCATAATATCATTGATAATATCTATTTACATATTAACTTAGTGGATCTTATCTTGAAATATACTTTACAAAAGAGAAACTACATTTAACAGTTGCTTTATATAGTTTAGGTTAAATAGGGTGATTAAATTGTTTCTATTTATTTAGATATATAAACTATCTATACTGTCTCTTCTCTCAAACTGATCCTTGATTACCAAAGTATTTGGCACTGCCAAGTATTTGTCTTAATAAGACAAGAAAAGTGATTATCAGTAAAAAAAAGTCTAATGTTTAATAACCTCGAGAATACAAATGCTGAATTCCGTAAATATTGCAATTGATTAGTTAATACTGCATTAAATTTAATATTTATTTAAGATGATTTTGACCTAGAAGTATCATAAATGGTACTTTTGAGATTAGCTTACAAAAATAAAAAAAAATATAGTTACACTGAAAGTAAATTAAGGTGATTCCTAAGCTTCATCCTTAGCTAAGTACCTGTACATGAAAACAATAATTTGATACTTTTGTACAAATTGTACAGAGCTATAAAATAAATACTGATTGCTTTTGAAGTACAATCGTAACAATACTTTTTAGATTTAATTAATTTTATGAGCATATGAATCAACTGAAACGCACATACTAGCTTTTTGTATTATGATTTGTGATATGATTGTGAACAAATCAATATTATTTATTTTGTTAAGACAAGTCATGTTATTTATGCAATGTTAGTTAGGAAGCAAAATAATAGTCTATATTTTTCATACTTTATTTACACAAATCTTAGCTTATTTTGTTGAGTCTGAACAAACTTTGCTTTAGCTTTCCAGGAACAAATTTGAGATTTGTTAATATTTTTCTACCTTTTTTCCTCAACTAAGTGATGTTTTTTCCTATTTTGACTGTAGTCATACGACACCAAAGATTACACATGTGTAATGTATGTTACCCACCAAAGATGTACTGTATATTACAATGTAATAAAACATGTAAAATTTATATCTGAGTGATATCCATCACCTATACTCCTTTTTCTTAGAATATTAATCTGGCAATCATTCATTAATTGGGGACCAACTGGTATTGTGGTGCAGAACTTTTGTTCTGGGCTCAAACCCCAACAGCCAGTAGCAATGAAATATTGTGGTGACCAAGTGGTTCGGAGACCACCTTGAACTTTTGATCCACATGTAGTAAACAAAAATATTCCACATGCAAGGAGAACTATCCCTGTGTTGGAGAAATCCCTCCTACTGAAACAATCTAAACAGCTAATCTTTAAACATAGGGGTAGCAGGTAGTTTTGGTTTCACATACATGAATAAAGGCACATTCTGATACTAACTGTAAATCATGAAACAGTTTTTCAGGAAAAAGGTTTAAATAGTCTATTCTGAACTTAAAAGTACAAAATTGAAAAAATGTTTGTATTACAAGTATAGTTAGATATTTTTGGCTGACAGTAACTATAGCAAAAGAATGCAACACATACCTTACTTACGCACACAATTGAGCATTACTTAACACTTAACAATATTTTACACAAATAAACTACTGGTGCATTCCTAACTTAACTGAATACCATTTGTATAAGCTCCTGTCAATCAGGTGTCCAGATTAGGTCTGTTTCAATTAGTCAGGCTTAATGAGGGTTTTTTTTCACTTGTAAGTTCAATAGTTATTGTGCTACTCGTTTGAATCACAATAAACAGTATAAACCTACTTTAAATATCAAAACTCAACCGATATTTCAGATAGGTACTCATAGTCACGTTGGCTTGAGCAAATGCATATTGACTGCCACTGCCAACTCTACGAGTCCCGGTATCAGAGAGCAGAAGAAGAAGATCCACCAGTACGAGTGGCAACTCCAGTCGTCCAATAGTGATTGTGACATGAGCACGCACGCACTCGCGTGGCAACCAACAGCTGTTTGGTATTAAGGCTTGGTATAAAAAAACTGTGTGGATGAGTCTAATGTGATACATCAACAAACTAAAGCAATTAATTGGTCAGTACCCAAATGATCAATGTCACATCAAACTTAGAAAAGTAATACACGTCCAATAGAAAATCTCCATTCACCCCCCCCCCCCTCCCTATAATAATTTACACTTAGTGATGTTGATTTGTGTTTGATCGAGTGACGGATAGGGAACTGATGAAAATACACCAAGTAAAGACAAGGTGTAAAATAACAAGGATAGGTGCTTACCTAAAAATGTTAATAGTTTCTCCCAAATGTTCCCAAAAGACATCATGGCGTATATGTAAACTAAAAATTCAATTAGTGAATCTCAATAGACTATGGTTGCAGTTCTTTTCCATTTGCAAACCTTTTAGCCTTTTACCACATCCAACAGAATTTAACCCTTTTTCACCATCCAACCTCACACTACACTCACAAATACTGTACATATACTTCCTTAAAGATTCATAATCTGTTGTATATAGTGCATTTTTATGTTAACTATTTTTTCTTATCCCTTCAGTCACTTTTCAACAATTTCAATTAAATAAAATAATTTTTGTTTAACAATTAATTCCTTTTTCTTTGTACAGTAGCCCATAATAATCAAAGAGTTAAGTGTAGCCTACACTGTAAAATTTACCCTAAAAAGAAACATCAAAAGTATGTTGAAATAGTACAGTCAAATGTAACCAGACATAAAACATTCTCATCGAAGAGGCCCCAGATTTACAATAGGATGGGAAGTTGACTTGGACTATTTCAAAGTCAATGGTAGTAAGCAAAGGATACACAGTGTTGCAACTGAAGGTAGAAACATGGACGTTCCGCTGAGAAAACCGAGGAACTCTATTGCGATGAGGCCGAGACCCAAATAAAGTCCAAGACGGAAACTGTAAACAATAATTATCAATAGTAAACAATAATAATTTGTTAGTTTTGAAAGTCCCATATTTTTTTCAATTTTTAGATTTATAATAGTTGAGACCGAAGGAGCTAAAAGTAGCTGATTTGCCTAGCTGGGTTTTAGTGCTCGCCTAGTAACCTAAAGGTCGCTGGTTCAATCCTGAGAAAAGTTAGCAGTTTTTTTATGGTTTCAAACTGGACCCAGCAGCTCTTCATCATTAAGGCTTTTAATAAATGGTCCTTATTAATGAAACAGCTGTTATTAGTCAGTAAAAAGCTACACAAAAGACATCTAACTTGTGTAACTTCATTCTACACTCATCCTTCACTCAATGAATGGCATATCATTGACTTTTGGATGTCTAGTTGTATTAATAGTCAAAGCTCATATTCAGGTCAAAATACGTACCTAGGTGGAATTTCCATATCAATTGGTATTGTAATTTCAACTTATGGTAGATGAGTGTCTAGTTTTGTCTATGTAAAACAATATTATATTTCCTTATCTCATAAAGTAAACTAAGAGATCAGACAATATTTAGTTATAAATTTCAACTGCAAAGCTTACACTTGACTTAGATTAATTGTTTTTAAACCACACACCGGACACACCAACTGTTACTTACTGAAATGATTCGGTGTCATAATCACTCTCCTCATACTCCTCTGGCAGACATGTTTTAATATTTCCATTCTGAAAAGATAAATTTTACACAAAATGTGATTTATACTACACTGAAGCCAGCAACCCCTAATAAAGCATGACATTTTCATTTTATCCATTCATCTACTTTTACTGAAAATTAACTGCGACAGAGTTTTCTTTATTATAGAGTTTTTGTTCAGTTGTGTCTATAAGACAACAACCATAACGTGCTTGAATAAGGAATGATTAAGTTTCTTAAGAACAATGATTGAGTAGAGATAAGTATAACTGATTAAAACACTTATTCAAACACTCATACTGCTTGGCATTCATTCAAATACCTTTGAATTCACAATGATTAGAAACCCACCACTGAAGAAGAACCCATTACAGTTTACTACTAGCTGTTTATATACTGTACGTAAAAAATGTCTGAGGAAAGTTAAGGCGCATAAATTCAAAACACAATATTCGTAGTTTTCAAAATTAAGGAAACAATTCGTAGCCTCCTCACCGAACTAAAACCTGAAAACTAGAACAGCTAAGAGATAAGGCCAAGGATTTTAAAGGCTTATCTACAATAAATAACCAGTACGTCCAACAACCCCCCTGCCTCCTCCTTATGCAACATGAACAGCTGATTTAGCAGTCGTGGTTAGGCGTCGGCTCGGGTACACGAGAGAAATGAAGTTTCATTTCCCTGAGAAAACAGGGTGTTATTTTTGGTTCTGCAAAACGTCAGAGTAAATCCAAGGACGATTTTTTTTGTGCGTGTAGCAGGCCCGTTTTTGACCCTGTCAGCGCCCTAGGCACAACTAATAGTAGCGCCCCTTTGCAATATACAGGGCGTCCCGTAAGTAAACAGCCAAACTCCGGGAAATGGTTCTATGGGTCAAAATAAAGAGAAAATATAGAACATAATTTTTTACAAAATCGCTTTGTTATTAGATATCCGCCATTTTGTATTTTTACATAAACATTTTTATTTTTGGATTTTTTAACCGATCTTTATAAAACTTGGTATGTAGGTTAAAGTAGAAGGGATCCATGTAGAAAAAAAGTTAATCTTTATGCAGCATAAAATTTCAAAATGGTAGCCATTTTAAGTTTTAAACTAAAATTACTCAAAAACTTAAAATATTATGAAAAAATGATAGGAACACTTTTATTTAGCATTTTTAATTCCCTATCAAACGATACCAAGTTCAAAAAGATCGAATTATAAATAGATGAAAATATTACGATTTTTTGTTGTAAAATGGGGTAGAATAAGGCAGAAAGCTAGTCAGGTTTGCCTAATTTTACAGCTAAAAATCGTAATATTTCAAATATTTCTTATTAGATCTTTTTGAATTTGGTATCGTTTGATAGGGAATTACAAATGCTAAACACAAGTTTTCTTGGCATTTTTTCATAAAATGAGTAGTTTTTTAGTAATTTTGGTTTAAACATTTTAAATGGCCGCCATTTTGAAATTGTGTGTTGGATCAAGATTAACTTTTTTTCTATCATAGGGTCCCTTCTACCCTAGCCTACATACCAAGTTTCATAAAGATCGGTTGAAAAATTCCAAAAATAAAATGTTTATGTAAAAAATACAAAATGGCGGATATCTGGTCAACAAAGCGATTTTGGTAAAAATGTTATTGTTCATTTTCTCTTTATTTTGACTCATAGAACCATTTCCCGGAGTTTGGCTGTTTACTTACGGGACACCCTGTTTATCAGGGTATCCACCGACCGGGATAACCGGGAACCCGGAAATTATGCTAAAGTTTTTTTGAACCGTGATGAATTTTGTATTCCACCTGGAATTCTAAATTTACCGCCATCGGGAATGACAACAGAGACGTTTCCGTGACCGCGGGAGACGACAATACGTCTACACACGGCCGCGAGGGATTATCATTTTTCCACGATCGCAGAAGACGATGGTGATATCTACAGAGCCGCGAGGGTTGATCAGAATATTTCCACGATCATGGAAGACGATGACAATGTCCACACGACTGCGGTAATGATTAACATTTTGCCGCAATCGCGGGAAACAATAATTACGATGTCTTCACGACCGCGGGAGACGATTGCGATATCTACAGGACTGCGGGAGATACAATAATGATTTCTACACGGCCGCGAAAGATGATCAGAATTATGCCGCGATCGCGCAAGACGATGATAATCTCCTCACACCGCGGGATATGTTCATATATTGCCGCGATCATGGACGGTTATGTCCACACGACCGTGGAAAATAGTCCGAATTTTTACCTCAATCGGGGGAGACGGTTACGATGTCTGGATGGCCGGGAGGGATTATCAGGAAGTTTACCACGATCATGCAAATACAACCACCAATTTTTTAAATTTTCCAATTTTTTGGCGCCCCCCCCCCCCCAAAAAAAAGCCTATTGCCTCGCGCCCTAGGCAAGTGCCTACCGTGCCTATTCGGTAAATCGGCCCTGGCGTGTAGGTGTGTCTTCGTTGTGTAATTATTTTGACGAGTCCTGGATTATCAAATTAAGGTGACTGTTGAGCAATAATTGTTTTAATTAGAAAATTGCAAAAAGGATTTATAAATAAAAATTGCATGATTTCCCCGGTTAACTGAAATAAAGGGGGGAGAGCCGTTTCGGATAACCAATTTTTCGGTTAACCCATCATATGCTAAAATAGCCTATGTATTACCACAGTGTGTAGGAAAAATGAAGTTCGCCACGAAATGTCTACATAATACAGTGTTTTATTTCAGATACAAAAATATGTTACAATGGGTTTTGGACCTTTTTCGAGAGAGGAAAAGGCCTCCCTGTTTAGATATTACTTATTGTACTTATATTTTAGCCCTGTATTAATTTATGGAACCGTTTCGGTTAACCCAATTTCGGTTAACCGGGGTTCTAATGTATATGATATGGGGAATAATTAAAAAAAATTGAGTTTTTTATTACGTAACTACTTACCATGTAAGACAGTGTAACTAAGCAGATAGTCATGTGCGCCAGAAGTATCAAAAACCTAGCTGGTATTAAACTTTCACCACAGTGACTTATCATCTCCGTACCTGAAATATGATTCTAGCTAAGTATATTATAAATGTTGAGACTTTTTAATTATGTACCTTGTGGTAAACAAAAACAAATGGAACAAAATCCCAAACAACACTAAAACATGCTGTTTCTATGGGCTTAAAACTAAAAAATAAACAAGATTAAAAAACTGATACAAATTCCGCCACCAGAGAACTTATAGGCTCTAATTTTCTGTTAGATCTCAAGGCGAAACATTACAACTTCATCTATATATTTAAAAGGCAAAGCCCTCACTGACTGACTGACTCACTCACTCATCACTAATTCTCCCACTTCCCATTTACCTAGGAGGCTGAAATTCGGTACACCGATTCTTTGGGCATTAAATAGGAAAACTAAGTAGTTTTTATTCTGATCGGGCTTCCGGGCTCCGCCCAAGTGGCACTGGAGTTTCCCATGTTAACCTTATGATTTTTCATATTTAAAAGGAATTAATGAATCTTAACAGCTGTTTCAATTAAACAAGTTGGTTCTGTTCTGTGATGTTCAATAGCATTAAAGTTGCAAGGATTACCAACAGGGTGCAGCACTATTATTTTTTTTTAATTTATGACAACAGCTAATTTGCAACCAAAAGGTGAGTGAGCGTAGCGAACGAACTTCAACCTGGAGGCGAGTTAGCGTAGCGAACGAGCTAACCTGAAGGCAAGTTCGAGCGCAGCGAACCAGCTCCAACCTAAAGGTGAGTGAGCGTAGCGAACGAAGTTCAACCAGGACTTAATTGAGCCATGCGAATACTTATGAAGTTAAACGGGGCAAAGCCCGCGGGTACAGCTAGTAAATGATATATGTGTAGATAACAAAGCTAAAGGTGTCATCTCATTTATTAATTAATTATGAATTTTTCACTTATCTTAATTCACTTTTAAAATATGTATCGCCAGTGCTTGATCTGCGGGGAATGCAGCGGAATGAAGTTCCAGGGCCTCTCCTTTGTAATGATGAAAATATTGGCATAAATAGTTACTAATCATATTAAGGGTTAAGATACAGTTCAGGCACCTCATTTTTTACAAATCTAGCACTGTGTCACAGTATGTTGGCTATCGTACAAATCCAAACTAATCTAATCATTATTTACGAACAAAACGAAAACTAAACTAATTTAGATAATCATGGCATACGTTACCGGATACACTTTAATTATAGAGCACCCTAGGCCCATAGGCCTACCTACTTTAATGTTTTCAAAAAGTATAAGAAATTACCTAACCCAACCACACAATTTAATAGCAATAAGTTAGGTAGCACATTTAGATGACAGTTTATATGATTGTTTATTAGGCCTACCGTATATGATCAAATTAATACTATAATTAACCCTTGTTTTATCTGCAGTGTACCTGGCACAAACACTTTTAGATAATATGAGATGAAAATGCTGTATTAGATTTTTCCTCTGCTTATATTACAATACCATAATATATCAAAAATAGGCTATTAGCCTTACACTCTTTAAGTCCCCTTTTTAATCTTCTTAATTAGGTACTTTAAAAAATAAATAAATATATTTATTCATTTATGACGTTTGTTTGGGTTGGGGTTGGATTGGATTGTTTGTTCTTGTTGTCAGATCGTTGCTTAGTAACAGCCGGTTGAGTGAAGTTGATCTGAAAAGAAGACCACAACCAACAACGGAATTAGTCACGGCCACCTTTTTAGCCCGTTGATTTTCATAATATCTAACATATCTATAACATACCTTATAACATACATACATCGCTGACCAGTAATGACTGACTCAATGGATTTCGTCAAAAAGTTGTTCTCCTCTTCTTGTATTGTGATTTGATTGTGAAGTTGGTTTCTGCAGCTGAGGTTGTCTATGTTGCCCTTTACATGTACCAGCCAGTTGTAAATGAATAGTCTGTAAACAGTCATCACTCCCAAGTCACGGAACAGTGGCCGCCTTTGACTCCAGGCCGCGGCCTTCGAACTGGCAACGTCGCAAGTGGTGTTGTAACAGCTGTTTTTGTTTGGAAGCAACTAATGGTATTTGTGTATTTACGAAAGATTGGTTACTGGACTATGACAATATTGACTCCGCTTAAAAATGTACAGATATAGATTTTAATTCATATTGTTTCAATTTTCAATTCTGTATGTTTTATTTTCAATATGTATTTTAATAAATTTATATTCATATATCAAAAATTAAATCAATAAAGTGCGAATTAATGAGCTTATGTCACCTGTCTGCCATGTTATCTTATTGGACGTCTGTCACTGAACAACACCACTTGCGATGTTGCCAATTCTACCAGGCCGCGGCCTGTAGTTAAAGGCGGCCGTGGGTCTACGCAATGTTCGTGCCTCGCGCTAGACGTTATATGGCCCTTATAGCAGGCTTTTGAGCTTTCAGAATGCTTTTGTCTCTGAAGCGTGAAGCCTCAGACAATGACACCGTATATCATTAGGCTGTGGAAGAAGCCATAATAGGCTAATTTTAAGGATTTCGATTGCTCAAATTTTCAGTTGGTTTAAGTGGCTACTACTCGTGATAAGGGTAGTGTCATAGTTTAGTTAGTTCATAGTTCAATTTATCTTCTCCACGGTCATCAAGATCTGGGAATCGTCAAAATTTTCTTTTCTGATCTTCTTGTCATCGGCAAAGAATAAAATGATGGCGCTCGGATCTCGCAGACTCGCACCGCAAATCGTACACCGACTAAAATGTAAATAAGTGTAAATATAGGATAGTGTTTTATAGTAATTGTGATAGTGATATGAAATGAAATCAAATCAAATGCTTTATTGTCATTAAAACTAAAATACAAAGTTCATGACAATAATCGTCAAAAGAAAAAGAAAAACAAAACAATCAAGATGGCAACTAAAATAACTAAAACTCTAAACCAAAGTACTCTTCATGTTTATACAGGCAAGCCTGGGTTAGAGTAGTTTTTAAAACATGTTTAAATTTTGAAACACACAGGTTTTTGATGGATGCAGGCAAGAAATTGTACATTTTTACACCTTGGTACTCAAAACTATTTAGAGTGGCTGTATACTTATGCCTTACAGATTATCTTTAGATCTAGTATCTTACAATAGTTGTGAACATCAGATATCTTTTCAAAGTGAGAAATGTTTTCTTTTACATACAACAAACTTGCCAAAACATACATGGATGGAAATGTGAGAATGTTAAGACCAGAATGTTAAGTGTGAAAGCCAAAGGACTCAGTTCATATTTAAAGCTTCAAAAAAGGCTCTTCGAACTGTTTTGTTCCCTTCACCGTTGCCAATCCTGTAAATAAGTCTTCAGATCACATTTAAGTTTTAACTTTCCCTTCCATTTACATTTTATAAACTTGATCATTTATGAAGAAACCCCAATCATCTTATAGCTCTCCAAGTATATAAAGAGTTCATACGAACTATATTTCATATAAGATTTCATAGTAGGTTATTGAACTATAATTGGTGTGATAGGATTATGTATCCTATCCGCAACAATTTCAATCTTTCATACCACGACACTCAACCACTTTCTTTCAGAAAAATTTCCACTTCAAATACAGTAAAACTTTTTAATGATCTCCCTCTCCCTTTGAAAGCCGAACAGAACAAAGGAAAATTTAGGGAATGTGTTAAGTCCATCGCTGATAAATAAGGTCTGCTACACAGCGTCCGCAAATTTGCTGGTAGTCTTTATTAAACGACACGGGCTTGTGCATTGTGGAAGGAAAAAAACACCACCATTTTTTCTTTTTTTTCTTCCACCATGGCTTGTGTGTCACAACCGAACAATTTGTATAAATTTATATATTTAGTACCTACTTAATTAATTTCATAATAAATTAAATTTTATTCGTTTAAAGACTTGTCAGAAAAAGTAGTTGTTTATTTCTGGCTTAATAAAGGACTTTGACTTAAGTTCGACCCGAAGACGGATAGATCCTATACGCATCTGAAACGTCGGCCTCTAGTTTTACTCTTTCAACGACGTGGTCATCACCCGAAGACCTAGATTTGGCCAGTGACCTAGCCAGGATTTTGAAATGGAGAAGGGGTTGGTTGTCGAGAAGTCTGGGGGTATGGATTACCAGGGGGCTGGCTGGCTGGCAGAAGGGGGTGCGGGAAAATTTTTGAAAAATATTAGGCCCTGAAAATGGCTGCTTTTAGCTCTCCTGGCATTGAAAATTAACCAGGTGGCTTACAATTTTGTACCTTAATAATAAGAAATAAAAAATAAGGAAAATTATAATTATTAAATGTCTTTCATGGCTATAAGGGATTGATTAACATACACATTGAGATTGACTGATTGACTACAGTCATGATTCACACTCCGGAAAATACACAGTTTTGTGTTGATGAACGCGAATGCTATTTTATTGAGCTACAAAAGGCATCATACTCCACTCGACATTAATCCTTCACTCCTAGACTTTTTGGGTTAAAATATGCCATAGGGGGTGTCCCCATCCCAAATTATAATGAATAATATTGAAAAACATATTTTTACTTCATACAGTATGTCTTTAAATTAAGCTAATTATAGCAAATATGTGACGAGATATAAAGGCAGTTGTACTGTTATGACTCGTCAGGTCACATGACTTTGAATCATCCAATCGCGTCATTACTGCGACCCCTATACGTGGCACGAACCACGAATCTTTTCTGTCTTGTGTCCGCCATCTTTGTTCGGTGTTGTACATCAGTGGCGTAACAAATAAAGTGACTAGGATAATCTTTCTAGTGTCTGTCTGGGTAAGGTAGGTTTCCTTTCATCATACTAGTTTTATGTGGGTCATAAACTGGTTCTTATAAGATAAATTTAACTCTGATCGTGTGGTTTTTAAAGCTAAATGAACGTTTGGGAGGAGTCGGAGATCAATCCGTATTCTACAACGGCTCTCCGGCTTACTGCTCCAAATCTATGGCGTAGACTAAATGCTAAGAAAGGATTAATTTAGTTTTTAATAGCTTGTGTAGAAACAATGTCCATACTAGCAGATAGGATAAGACGGACGTTACTAAGATCCATTGCAACAACTACAAATCTCACAAAACTGAAAACTGTATTACTTTAGCAGCTGGTTGGCTATTGGGAGGTAGACCTAAGCTAGGCTTGATGTCAAATAAGCTAAGTAAGCCTAAGTGCTGCATTATGCTTACTCTATACAGTCACTTGTTACTCATTCAAATTATCAATGCATTTTAAGAATAGGCAAGCTATAATTCAATAAGTTAGGCCTATCAGTTAATCTTTCAAGTATAGGCTACCTAGGCCTAGGCTCTGGTTAGGGCCTAAAAGGTGTTGTAGGCCTAACCAGTTAGCGTAGTTTTAGATACTCTGTGGCCGTGTAAGGATTAAGATTAAGTTAGGAATCACAATGGCTCGGTGATAACGTAACTTGCTTACAAAAAGGTTTAATTTACTTGTTGCGTCAATTGATCCTTAAGTTATAAAATAGGCTAACTAAGGCCGTTTCGTGCTGCTAAGCGAAGACATCTTTAATTTGTTGTTAAACTATGGTCTTCTCATCCGTGGATGGAGTCGTCAGCACATTTTTGCACACAACACGAAACACATACAAAACATGACTGACCCGTGTTGGGAGTTGTGACCCCCTCCCCTTCTCTCCCCTTATCTTTGCTCTGGTTTCTTTTGTTTTGGTTGATAATGTGGATGGCAGTTAGTAGCCTAGGCCTATTGTAAATTACCTTATGTTTGATTTGAAGGACAGCTGTTCATTTAATATATGATCGGGATGTTGTTTTGATGCTTTGTAGATCTCAAATTCTTCTATAGTAGGCCTATCCATTTGTTTGTCTATATTTTATAGAGGCATGATTTCTAAATTATTGTGTTTGTCGGTGTAGTTATTGTTTGAATTAATGTTTGCCTTTGGTTTATGATGTTCTTTGAACAGTTTGTCTGATAAAAACTTGGACAATCGTCACATTTATTTTATTATAAACACCCTTGCTGTTTTTGCCTACTTTATCAAGTGTCTTCTTTTTTCTTTCCCCGAGGAGAAATGAGAGTTTGTTAGGTGTTTTATAGGCTATGCGACTTATACTTAATGTTTCGCCATTTCTTTCCTCAGTGTGTTGTGAAGTACAACTCCGTATTCTGCAGAGACTTATTTCTGGTCGGTTCGTGTAATTGTGATGCCCAAAAAAATAAAGGACGTTTTTATCTCAGTTTCGAGGGTGAATTTTAATTTTCGGTGGACACTGTTCAGATGAGATTTTAGTAACGTG